CTCAGAGCTCTACCGGGGCCTTTCCCCTAGAATCCGCCTCCAAACCACTTGTATCTAACAACAATTGACTCAATAATGTCAAATATTGCTAAAGGAATCAACTACAATGCATCAATTTAGGATTTTCACACTTTTCCCCAAAAAATCAAAAATCGACCCCGGGCCCGCTTGGTCAAAACCCGAGGTTCGGACCAAAACCCGATTACCCATTCACCCTTGAGCCCGATTATGTAATTTGTTTCGAAATCCAACCCCAATTTGAGGTCTAAATTCCAATTTTACAAAAACCCCTAATTCTACTCGAATTTCCAATTTCTAACATGAAAATCCTAGATTTTAGGTGAAAATCTTATACTGGGTAATTGAAAGAAAGTAGGTTAGAATCACTTACTAATGAATTGGGGAAGAAGAGCTCTTGGGAAAATCGCCTCTAAGGTTTCTAGGTTTGAAAATTTAAAAGAATGAACAAAATCCCATTTTTAGGACTGTTTTAATCACTGGCGTCAGGTGTTTATCGCGTTCGCGTGAAACCTGATGCGTTCGCGAAGAGCATGGCCTAACTGGCCTACGCGATCGTGTATAACTCCATGCATTCGCAAAGGTATAGCCCGCCTCACCTTTGTGTTCACGAGACTGATCTCGCGTTCGCGTAGAGTTAACCTCAATTCCCAACCCAGCCCATCCAATACTATACGTTCGCGTTGGTTTGGACACGTTCGCGAAGGGCAGTCCCCTCCACTGCTCTGCGTTCGCATCCTATTCCTCGCATTCTCATAGGCTTATTCCCTCCCCAGCCCAGATCACTCTTCGTGATCGCGTGAGTTTCTTCGCAATCGCGAAGAAGGAAACACCAGGTGACATCTGAAGGTAAGAAAACCAGGTTTTCTAAGTAGAAACTACCCGTAGCCTATCCGAAACTCACCCGAGTCCCCGGAGCTCCAAACCAACTATGCACACTAGTCCAAAAACCTCATACAAACTCGCTCGTGCGATCAAAATAACACCTAGAACTATGAATCGGACACCAAATCAAATGAAACTTTCAATGAAACTTTAGAATTTCCATTTTATGAACCGGACGTCCGAATCACGTCAAACTAACTCTCTTTCTCACCAAGTTTGGCAGACAAGTCATAAATATAGTAACGGACCTATACCGAGTTTCGGAACCAAGATACGGACTTGGTATCAACAAAGTCAAACAGTGGTCAAATCTTTAAATTCATTAAACCTTTAAACTTCAAATTTTTGACAAAAAGCGATAGCTCGAGTTAGGGACCTCCGAATTCGATTCCGGGCATACGCCTAGGTCTCAAATCATGATACGGACGCATCGGGATTGTCAAAATACAAATGCAGGTCCGCTTTCTTAAAGCGTTAACCGAAGTCAACTCAAATGGATTTTTAAGGCAGAATTTCATATTTTATCAATTTTTAACATAAAAGCCTTCCCGAAAGAGACACGGGTTGCACACGCAAATCGAGAAAGGCTAAAATGAGGTATTTAAGGTTTCAAAACACAGAATTAGGATTTAAAACTCTAGATGACCTATCAGGTCATCACATTCTCCACCTCTAAAATAACCGTTCGTCCTCGAACGGACATAGAAAAGTACCTGGATTGGTGAAAAGGTGTGGATATCTACTCCACATGTCCGACTCAGACTCCTAAGTAGCTGCCTCAACGGGCTGACCTCTCCCCTGCACTTGAACTGAGATAACTCTTAGACCTCAACTGTCGAACCTGCCAGGCTAGAATAGCCACCGGCTCCTCCTCATTAGTCAAGTCCTTGTCCAACTGGACTGAGCTGAAATCTAACACATGGGACGGATCACCGTGATACTTTCAGAGCATGGACACATGGAACACTGGATGAACTGCTGATAAACTAGGTGGCAATGCGAGCTTGTAAGCCATCTCACCCACACTCTGAAGAATCTCAAAAGGTCCGATATACCTAGGGCTCAACTTGCCCTTCTTTCCGAACCTCATCACATCCTTTATGGGAGAAACCCAGAGTAATATTCTCTTTCCGACCATGAATGCAATATCACGAACTCAACGGTCAGCATAACTCTTCTGCCTAGACTGAGCTGTGGGGAGTCGATCCTGAATAATTTTGACCTTATCCAAGGCACCCTATACCAAATCTGTACCCAACAATCGAGACTCCTCTGGGTCGAACCATCCAATTGGAGATCGACACCGCCTCCCGTATATTGCCCCATAGGGAGCCATCTGAATGCTCGACTGGTAGCTGTTGTTTTATGCAAACTCCGCAAGTGGAAAGAACTGATCCCAAGAACCCCCGAAATCTATAACACAAGCGCGGAGCATATCCTCCAATATTTGAATAGTGCGCTCGGACTGTCTGTCCGTTTGAGGATGAAATGCTGTGCTCAACTCAACTTGAGTGCCCAACTCACGCTGTACTGCCTCCAGAAGTGCAGGGTGAACTGCGTGCCTCGATCAGAAATGATAGCATGGGCACGCCGTGAAGACAAACGACCTCGCAGATGTAAATCTCAGCTAACCGCTCTGAAGAATAGGTAACTGCCACGGGAATGATGCGCTGACTTGGTCAGCCTGTCCATAATAACCCATACTGCATAAAACTTCTTCTGAGTCCGTGGGAGTCCAACAACAAAATCCATAGTTATACGCTCTCACTTCCACTCAGGAATCTCTAACATCTAAAGCAAACCACCAAGTCTCTGATGCTCATACTTTACTTCGCGAACGCATGAGTTCCTTCGCGATCGCGAAGAAGGAAACACCAGGTGATAGCTGAAGCTAAGAAAACTAGATTTTCTAAGTACAAACCACACGTAGCCTATCCGAAACTCACCCGAGCCCTCGGGGCTCCAAACCAACTATGCACACAAGTCCAAAAACCTCATACGAACTCGCTCGTGCGATCAGAACACCAAAATAACACCTAGAAGTATTAATCGGAAACCAAATCAAATGAAAGTTTCAGTGAAACTTTAGAATTTCTATTTTAACAACCGGACGTCCGAATCACGTCAAACCAACTCCGTTTCTCACCAAATTTGGCAGACAAGTCATAAATATAGTAATGGATCTATACCGAGTTCCAGAACCAAGATACAGACTCGGTATAAACAAAGTCAAACATTTGTCAAATCTTTCAATTCATTAAACCTTTAAACTTTAAATTTTTGACAAAAGTGATAACTCGAGTTAGGGACCTCCGAATTCTATTCCGGGCCAGGTCCCAAATCATGATACAGACCCACCGAGACTGTCAAAGCATGGACACAGATCTGTTTGCTCAAAATATTGACCGAAGTCAACTCAAATAGATTTTTAAGGCATAATTTCATATTTTATCAATTTTTAACATAAAAGCCTTCTAAAAAGAGACACGAACTGGGCACGCAAATCGAACAAGGATAATCACGAACCTATCGGGTCATCACACGACCAAATGGTCCTCAATCCCAAAATTCGGTGTCCCAAGTGCATGTATACCTACTGGAATATGCAATACTAAAACAATAACTATTTGGAATAAAAAGTAGACATAATACAATAAATAAGTAGGAAAGGGACTGCGTGTGCTGCAGATCGTAGCATGGAAAGCAACACACCACAGAGTCTCCTCAACAGCTTTGCCTACGTGCCTATATGACCATAAAATAGACATGTCCCAGTACCTGCATATTTTGTGCAGACGTATAGTATGAGTACGTAAATCAATGCGTACCTAGTAAGTATCTAGTCTAACCTTGAAGAAGTAGTGGCAAGGAGTCGACATCGACACTAACTAGTTGTCCAATAATCAAATATACATGAGAAAATAGACATGTATGAGGCATAACACGTAGCAATGAAATAGATAAATATGTACAACATGCTTCTCAATAAAAAAAAATACGAAACCGTCAAATGTCAATTACTGTCTCGAATGAAATATATGTGACCAATATCAGGTGCAAATGCCAAATCCGAGTCAAGACGCTCATATATGCACTGACTCCCTATCAAAATATTTTGCACAATTCTACAGAGGCGAATGACCCGATCCCATAAGAGTGATTTTACATAATCCTGCCAAAGCGAACGGCCCGATCCCTTAAGAGTAGTTTTACATAAAAATTCCTAGGCGAATGACCTGATCCTAAAAGAATATTGATACTTTTGATGGGTCACTAGCCTAACTCGCGAATATACTTACGAGTTGAATAATGTTGAAACTTCCGAACAAATGAATATGACACGGGAGTAAATCCGTAAGAGAGAGCATAATTTTTGCGACTAATCAAGTAACGCACCAAGTCTCTAGAATAACAAAGCTCGATAATCTACGCAAGTCTAGTATCAGGATAAAACATGAATTAAATTATTTAAACGGGTAAGATTTACTCAAGTAGTACAATTAAAGTATGATATAAAGTCTTAGTCTACCCGGATATACAAAAAATCTAACATACACATGGACGCTCGTCAGATTGTACGTATTGTAAGGCCTCGTAAAATTTTGCTAAGCAATTTAAGGTTTTGTGGTGCCGAATTAGGATAAAGTGTTCAGAGGTAATAAATTAATTTCTCGGACTTCTCGTAAGTTTGACTCGATTTGGGTGATTGTGGATCGACTCACGAAATCGGCACACTTCTTACCAGTTAAATCTATCGACACAGCGGAACAATATGCTTAGTTATATATCAAGTAAATAGTCAGGTTGCATGGCACTCCAGTTTTTATCATTTCTGATCGGGGGCACAATTCACGGCTAATAGTTTTGGGTACTCAGGTGAATCTTAGTACAAGCTTTCATCCACAGACCGACGGGCAGGCAGAGCAGACTATTCAGACGCTTGAGGATATGTTGCGTGCTTGTGTTCTTGACTTTAAAGGTAGCTGACATGATCATTTGCCGCTCATAGAATTTGCCTACAACAACTGTTATCATACCAGCATTCAAATGTCACCGTTCGAGGCTTTATATAGTCGGAGATATAGATCCCCCATTGGATGGTTGAGATTGAGAAAGCGGAGTTGATAGGACCAGACCTAGTACATCAAGCTATAGAGAAGGTTAAGACCATTAAAGAGCGTTTGAAAACTACTCAGAGTTGTCAAAAGTCCTATTCAGATGTTCGTCGTAGGGATTTTGAGTTCAAAGAGGATGATTGGGTATTCTTAAAGGTTTCCCCCATGAAGGGTATAATGCGGTTTGGTAAGAAAGGAAAATTGAGTCAGCGATATATCAGACCGTACATAATCATTCAGAGGTTTGGTCAGGTGGCTTATAGGCTTGAGCTACCTCCAGAAATGTCTTTAGTTCACCCGGTGTTTGATGTGTCTATGTTGAAGAAGGTTGTTGGAGACCCGACACTCGTTGTTCCGATTGAGACTATTGAGGTTAATAAAGAACTGACTTATGAAGAAATTCTAGTTGCTTTTCTTGACAAGCAAGTCTGAAAGCTAAGAAATAAGAAATTGCCTCCGCGAAAAGTGCTATGGTGAAACCAACAGGTCGAGGAGGTCACCTGGGAGGCCGAGGAAGAGATGAAGAAGAAGTACCCTCATTTGTTTGAATAGCTATGTAATTAAGTATTTGTGTTCCATGAAGATGTTGAGAGTTTACCTACTATGAATGTATCACTTGTATAGTTTATGTTAAGGGTGTTCTTTTTCTAGTAATATATTGCTTATGAGGCCAAGGTTGGTATTATTTTCATGTTATGTTACGTTGTTGGATTATGTATATGTTGTTAGGATTGGTTTCCGGGATTCTCTAGCAGGTGGATAGGCCCAATTACAGGGGAAACTCTGCCGAAATTGCTAAAAAATTTGGGAGTTAGTCAAAATTCGGGGGCATGAGGTGTGTGAGAAAAGAGATAAGTTACATTAAGTATTTGGGACGGACTCTACTTTTCATTCTAGGACGAATGATCCTAAATGGGGGAGAATGTAAGGCCCCGTAAGGAATTTAAGATTTTGTGGTGCCAAATTAGGCTAAATGTTCAGAGGCACGGACTTTTTGGATTGAAGGATGCACTGGATTATCGATGAAAATTTTTGGCAGAAGGGGGAAATTCTACGGTCAGTTTTGTGATCGCAGAACCGTTTCACGGGCCGCAAAAGTGCCGCAGAGTAAAGCAGAAACTTGAGTTAATTTTAGGACCATTATGCGGCCACATAATCATTTCGCGTACCGCACAACCCTCGCAGAATCAACATGGAGATTTTCGAAGGGAAGTTCTATGGTGCATTATGCGACCACAGAACAGGTCTGCACCCGCGGGCCACAAATCTGTCGCAGACCCAACCAGAAACAGGTTAGGTTTTAGAGATCGATTTTGCGATACATTTTGCAGACCGCATAGCTATTATGCGGTCTACTCTGCGATCGCAGACCTGAGTTCGGAGAGTCCATTTTTTGATTTTTATAACCTTGCCCAACTTCGATAAATAGACCTTGAAGCTCATTTTGGAGTAAAAGTCTGATATTTTCAGAAAGATGTAAGAGTGTTCTAGAGAGAGGAAGAAGCTCAAGTGCTTTGTTCATCAAGATCTTGTCCAAGCTTTGAAATCCAACAAGGAAATCTCATAAGATCTTCACCCAAGAGATAAGGTTCTAACCCTAGTCTTCAATTTCGAGTTTAGGGTAAAAGATGGGTGATTGGGAGTATGATTCTTGGGTGTGAGAGTATTATGTATACATGCATGTACCAATAAGGTTTGTTGGAAGATTGTTGAGTTCAAATGGGTAAAAATTGGATTGTGAAGTGGTGGAAATCTTGTAGAAGAACCTTGTAGCTAAATTGCACACCTAGTGTTTGACGAAATGCTCCAATGAGCTGGACCATGAATATCTTCCTAATTATGGTTCAATTTTGCTATGTCTCTAAATAGATTGAAGTTGCTAGGATTTTCGGAATATTATAGTAACTTAAGGAAAGCTAACAATGAGGTATGTTGGCTAAACTCCTTTCTTAGAATTGAATCTCATGGTGTTCATGTAATTGATGTATGTCCCGAGTTGTTCATTATAAAATTGGCTATTCCGAATAAGCTTGCATTGAAAGATATATGTTCAATATGTATCCCAAATTCTTTTCATGTTATGTTATCATTTGAGAATGTTTTTGAAGTATTGGGTGTGTACTAAAAATGTTACGACTTCAAGTCAGGTTCAAACGAAGGTTATTATGCCAAATTGTGTGAAAATCTCTATGTTCCAAAGAATCTTAATTGCTCACATGTGTGCTTAAAGTCTTGAATTGAAAAGCCTTGTTGTATATGATGATGATGTTTGAAAGTGAAAAAGGTGAGCATGAAATATGAAATACGGCCAAGTGCCAAGAATGATATTATAAATGTGGCCACTAGTGCCAATGAAATGAAAAGATGTGAAAGAAGTATGAAACGAGATGATTGATAGAAAAGTGATGATGTCGATCCACATAGCATTGTGGTGAGATGTCCTAGCCGATCGAGTCGTGATCGAACACCATACCGCACACATGGTGGTGATTGTGCTAGAAATTGTAATTGAAATTGTGATTGTATTTTGAGACTTTAAAATGAAGTAACTAATGGTAATGAATTGGTATTGTATACATGATCTCCTTATTGTCTAATTAACGAAAATATATGTATTCTCTTTATTCACGAGTGAGTTTGGGTAGAAAGTATCTAACAGGCTTGCTTGACGAGGTTCACTCGGTTGAGCGTCGGTCGCGCTCCCCGAGTTCGGGGCGTGACACGTACATAGCTCCCATAAAACATATCATATAGAAAATAGAATACCTACGGGGATAGGTTCCCTCTTACAAGGTTAGGTAAGGGACCTACCTCACTCCGAAATTCGATAATCGGCTCCAATACTGCTCTATCACCTCAAACGAATGCCTATCATCCCAAAACTAGCCAAAGAACGTGCAAACTAGTCAAAACCTACTCAAGAACCCATAACTTATCAATTAGAAATAATTTTAAATCCCACGCGAAAAGTTAACAAAATTCAACCCCAGGCCCATGCGCTCGGATTTCAAAAATTCTCAAAATAAAATATTGCCCATAGTACCACAAACTGAAATATATTATTTATTCTCAAATTCGACTTCTATTTCATGTTAAAACCCCCCAAATTTTACTCTTAAGTTCAAGTAAAAAACACACCATTTATTCTTTTTAAATCCTTGATTTAGGTGTAATAATCCATTAGTAAACAAGATATATAATTAAAATAAATATAAAATTACTTACCCTAATGATTTGGATGTTTGTCTCCTTTAAAATAGCCTTACTTGTGCTCCAAAAACTCAAAAGTGAAGAAATAAAGTCAAAATTTCGAAAGTAGATATTTAATATCCCAGTCAGGCTCTTTCTTCGCGATGGAGGTTTCTAGCCACGCGATCGTGGTTCACAAATTGTCCAGCATAATTTTCTTCATTGCGATCGATAGGCTTTACGATTGCGATGTGCAAATTTTTGCTTTCCTTTGTACTGTTACTCTTCGATATAATGGCCATAACTCTTTATACCAAATTCCAAATAATGAACAGTTGATATTATGAAAATTAGGCTCAAAGGAATACAACTTTTTTTTATTGGATTATCCCTAAATTCCATAGATTGCAATATATAAGTTCCTAAAATTAGACCACCGACAACAATAATTTCCTTCTACGCGATCACGATTCAAAATCCCTGAAGTGAACTTTGCTCTCCGGGAACATGACCCAGACTTCCATGATCGTGATTCACAACCTTGTGGTCATTTATCAATAGCTCAAAAAGGCCTAGAAGTGGCTCAAAATCATCCCAAAACTCACTCGAGGTCCGAGGGGGTCCGTCCAATTAATCTAACAAGTTCATATGCCCTATGGAAACTTTTCCAAAGGCTTGGAACACGAATTCCAATATTGAAACCAAGATTTGAAGATCAAATCCAATTTAATAAACTTTCAAACTTTCAAAATTCACCAAACGCGTCCGAATAACACTTAGACATTTTAGATTATGACTAGACTTCACACACAAGTTCTGATCAACTAAATGAACATGTCCAAGGTCTCGGAACATTAAACGGAGTCCGATAACATCAAAGTCAACTTCCGATCAAACCTATGAACTCTCCAAATCTTCAAATTACCAACTTTCGGCAAATAGAGTCAAAACCTTTTAGGAACATCCAAATTTAAATACGAACATACGCCCAAGTCCAAAATTATCTTATGAACCTATTAGAACCATCAAATCACTAATCTGAGTTCATTTAGTCAAAAGTCAAATTTTGATCAATTCTTCCAACTTAAAGCTACCAAATTGAGAATCACTCTTTCAAATCAATGTCGAACTTCTCGGATATCAAAATCAAACCATACATGCAAGCCGTAATACATCATATAAAGCTACTCAAAGTCTCAAATTGCTGAACGGATTACTAAAGCTCAAAAAGACCTGTTGGGTCATTACATTCTCCCCATTAAACATACATTCAATATGCGAGCGACATTGCTTTTGGGATGTTGATTTCATTATTGCACCGTAGTTGTGCTTGTTTTTTATTTTTCATAGCGCATTAGGCTATCCATCTACCCAAGGTTATATTTATATACTTTGTGTGCTTGTTATTAATACACGTGTATTTGATGAGTATGAGGTTTATGGCATGATGGGAATTACCATGAGAATATTATGGGATCAGGTTGCATGCCGCAACAGTGTTATACTGGATATGATTCCTTGTACTTATGTCGTGGGTTTTGCTTCTACTTTGTAGGATGGATTTATAGGATGGATTTATAGCATTATGTTTTGTTGTTATATCTGCTACACGTGTTGGATAGTTCTCGTACTTGGGTTCCCTTTCCATTAGTGGTCATATTCGAGTTGTTTCTTGTTTGGCACACAGATCGCGTCATATGAGATTCTAGATGGTATTTGATGTGGTTTGTCGGTCAAGCAGCTTGTACTAGGTGAGATGAGGTAATGACCTAGAATTAATGCAATCAGATTTGGATAAGGTATGTTTAGAATAGGGTTACTATTAGTTAGCTCAGAATTTGGTAATGGTTCTTGTCGGGCGAGAAAACTACATAACTTATGGTTCTGATGGGTGGTTATGAGTTTCTACATTTTTTTCATTATTAGCAGTGTTGTGAAGGTTTGTCATAGATTTCTATGCAATATTAGATATGTTATCGGTACCGAGTTCGATAATGAGTAATTATTAAGGGCAGAAGATATGTTATAGGTATATGCGTTATGGGCTATACTATGTGTTGCATATTGGGAGTCCGTTTATAACTCAATGTAGCTTGTGGGAACTGATATAGTGTGTATATACATGGATCGGATCTTAGAAGGAGTTATGTTAAAATTTGCTTCTAAGACTAATGAACTAAATATATAAGAAGAGTCTTCAGTCGGGATTGTGTTAATGGACTTATATAGATCAAGGTGGCATG